CTCAACTCCTACTCTCTCCTATTTTTACTCTATTTAATTTACAAATCACTACTATACTTTCTATGTACCATTTGTTTTATTCACTATATAACATTACAAACAAACAAACACTAATAATAATAATGGCTATGTCTCTATGGAATTACTCTGACCTAACTCAAAAGGGGGACATCTGCTGTCTTCTCCTATGAAGGGGGCTTGGGGGCGGGACAATGCTTCTGATTGGTTAACCTTTCACCTAGAACTGTCAAATTAATTCTGATGAAAACCGGTATCTATACTGTGTGTGATATCAGCACCATCATCAAGAAGGCACAGCAGAGGATATACTTCCTGCACCAGCTCAGGAAGTTTGACCTGCCCCAGGAGCTGCTGATACAGTTCTACAGAGGAATCATCCAGTCAGTTCTCTGCTCTTCCATCACTGTCTGGTTTGGCTCAGCAACCAAACAGGACAGGAACAGACTCCAGTGGACAATCAGGACTGCAGAGAAAATCATCGGTGCCAGTCTGCCCTCCATGGAGGACCTGTTCACCTCACAAGTCAAAAGGAGGGCGGAGAGGATCACTGCAGACCCCTCACACCCTGGACACAATCTGTTTGAACTTCTCTCCTCCAGACAGTGCTACAGGTCACTGTGCGCCAAGACAACCAGACACAGAGACAGTTTCTTCCCCCAGGCTATTAAACTCATGAACAGCTAGTGTATGCTGCTCTTTTAACTTCTATATATTTTTTGTATTTATTTTTAATGTTTTTATGTTGTGCATATCGGGGGCCATTGAGCTGGAGTCAAATTCCTTGTATTTTTTAAATACTTGGCAATAGCTTAGAATCGTTCCAGGAGTGCATGGAGGGGTGGCGGGGACCAGGATGGAAATGTGCATTAGGCTTGAGGGGGATTACTTCAACGGGGAAAACTTGCAGTTTGTACAAATGTTTTTGTAATAAATTTTTGTGACCCGAGTCCTGGAACTTTTCTGACACACCTCATATAGATTAGAGACTTTAATTTAGTAATACCTACAGTTTTGTGAGAGATCAAGCTTTGCCACAAGTCACTTATCTGTTAGCAGGGGAGAAAAATCACTGGGTTCAGGCCCTTTTTGGGCCTTTTTAGACCAGAGTTCCGAGTTGGTCCTGAGCTATGGCTCAGGACAAATGTGTTGTTGCCAGATTTGGCTGAGCTCACTCTCTGGGGGAGTTGTTTCTCAGTGGGTCTATGTCTCGAAGAAAAACGTCTTTGATTTAACTGATCATCACAGGATTGTTCTGATGGTGTCTTTAGAGCTTAAAAATGATTTGGCTTAAACAAAACTCACTTTTGATCTTGGTTACAGAGGTTTTCTTTGTCTGCAAACTTTGACTGAAGACTATTCAAATTTTGGCACACTAAACCTTGTCTTGTCTGCTAGGTAACACTAGAAAGATTCAAAAATCACTATAATGTTGCTAAATAAGAAAACACTCCTTGTAATGATGCAAGCATACAATTTATTAAAAAGGGGAGGATTTTAGACAAAAACATGGAAACACTTTTTGAGGCTCTAACTTTCTTCATTCTGTTCTCTGGAGTCTGCCAGTTGGAGTCCTCTGGCTGGCTGGACTCTGGTGCCATGACAGCGGGTTCCTGATTGGTTCCTTTAGTGTGCTGTGAAAGGTCCATGCCCTACTTCTTGGGGTGAGTCTGTTCCTGAAATAATGTTTTCACACAACTTTAAACAAGACTTGACATTGCATATGCTTATGCAAATTTAAACTACAGACATATAAATGTTTCTTGTAATCTTATGGAACAATTTACACACGGTTGGTTAACATAATTTCACATTCTCAAATCTCAAGAATATATTTTCATCATTATAGAGGAAAGATAACAAAAACAAATCACAAGTAGTTCTTTTGACTGCAGTTGTGACTCTGGGGGAGGAGAGCCTGCATTCCATGATATCTTATTGTCTAAGGTCAGAGGTGTCAGGCAAGTCGGAGTAGAGGGGGAGTTTTGGTCTCTGGAGACTGAGTCCAGGGTCTTCATCTGATAAGAACAGGGTAATGTTTGTTCAGAGGGCAGTTTGCATACCAGTCTTCAGCTGAAACAAAGCAAGTCTGTCAGTCAAGTTCTGTGTGTTTGAAAGGGGGCGAAGTTTTTTCTGCTCCTCAATCAAAGTTAATTTATTAATTATGCATTATGAACATTCTGAGTTTCTCAGAATAAACGTCTTCAAGATATTCTGTGGATTTATGTGCACTACATGATGAAAATGACTTTTTAAAAATGTCGGCTCATATGTTGAAGAGAGCAGAGAATTGGACAGTAGTGATAGCTATAGACAGCAGTATGAACCTAATGTATGATTTTATATGTGATTTTACCATTGTGATGTTCTGTTGTATGTGTGTGCTGCCATTAAGAAAAGGGGAAGTAGGTGTGTGAAAAAGGGGAAGTCAGCAGACACATTCCTACAGACAAAGAAGGCCAGGCAGACATGTCTGTGTCTGTAAGAAAAGGAAAAAAATAAAAGAAAGAGAAGAACCACTGAGTTTACTGGACATAAGGAGATTTAAGTATAACGGCTTCATGCATAAAGATTTGATTAATCAATAATCAATGTTTAATCGTGTTAAAGTTATTTTGTACTCAGAATAATATAGTGATCTTTGTTTTAAATCAAACATATTGACAATTTTGTGTAACTGAATTTGATTCTTGTATTATAATTAGATGTGATGAGATCAGAAAATATAATGATTCCTGTGTTTGTATTTAAACATGTGTACAAAGGTTAACAACTAGTCCGGTTAAAAAAACTGAATTTGCTGATTATGACTGTATAATGTGTGGTACATTTTTATACACTCTTTATGTTTATTATTACAATATTTGTGCAATTTGTTGCACATCCTAACAATAGACAAAAAAAGTTCACTGTATGAAGTACTTATACATCTACATTACTCTGTCCAAAGAACTCAGTGACTATTAATGGTGTTGAGATCCCCATGCAAATCAATGGGGACCCTGCCTACCCTCTCAGGAAGTGGCTGATGAAGGGATTCACACACCACTATGTGCTGGACAGGTCACCAGTCTATCATAGGGCTGACATTTAGAGACAGACAACCACACACACTCACTCCTACATGGAATTTAGAGTCACCAGACAACCTAAGCTGCATATCTTTGGACTGTGCAAGGAAGCCAGAGCACCCAGAGAGAACCCACGCAGGTACAGGGAGAACATGCAAACTCCACACAGAAAGACACCGGGGTCAGCTGGGGTTCTAACCCAGAACCTGGCGACAGCATAAACCACTGCGCCGCTGTGCTGCCCACATTCATACATTAAAGCTTTTAAACTGATCTTCTGACTCTAGAGTGCTACATTTGAGTCTTCCTAAACTGATTATCTGACAAGCTAATGTAGTTACCTATTTGAAAACATACGTGTAGGTATGGTCTCACTACACTGGGTAAGAGTAAAGTTATTGAATATTTTTGGAGTAGGCCTCTCTTCTGTGTTGCACTTTGTAGACAGTCTCAACACATGCGTCTCACAGCCGCTGCACATTGAGACCAATGTTATTGGTCTGGAGCAGAAGATGGCTCATTTTGATAAAAATGAGCTTGTAGCTTGTTGTCTATATTACTAGGAAACAAAAGAGACATCGTTTGTATTTTAGCAACATTTGATTGTGACTTATTGAACTGAAACTTCAAAACTGTGAATATCTTCTCAATTTTACAGTTATCAGTACACTGACCAACAGCTATCACCTCCTCCATGTCTGAGAGCAAATATGACATTTGAATGTAATCTGAGCTTTAGATAGAGCTTCATTTTTCATGATGGGGGCTGCGTAAGATGACTGTTAGTGGGTTACACCACATCCTGGCTTTGACTGGTAGTTCACATTCAGGAACAGTGGATTATTTTTCAAATGGATTTAGAGGCACTAGAAGGAGCCAGGGGACCCTGATGTTTTCACTGAATATCTGTCTTATGTGTTACTGCCAGGATATGACAGTTTAGCAAATATGACAAGTCATTTTTATAAAAGTTACAGACCCCTGCTTCAAAGTGCTGTGCAGTGTGGATTGTCTTCGGAAATCAAAAGAGAGGGGTCTAATGAAATCTAAACAAATGGCAGATATCTGAGTGGCCATGCAATGTGGCCAGGTGTGACGGACACACGAGGAATTTGACTCAGGTACATTTTTGTATTTAGAAACATTCTATTTTCACATGTACAAATGTTCTTTCAGGAGTAAATTTCACTTGGGACTTTATGATTTGTAGTCATTATTTCTATAATTACACTGCAGTTAAATCGTGCACCTTTGAGCCGTACACACTCATAACCACTTGGTGGCATACTTAGCTTAGATTTGACTCAAGGGACAGCCTGCTGGAGATGATGATACCAAAACTTAGGAAAAGTTCAATTTATTTTTACATCAGTCAACATTTGCCATCAGTTTTTAAAATGGTGTGTCTTGTCAGGGTAAACAAACCACCTGCTACAGGGAAATGGAATGTAAATCTGTAGTTACAGTACGTACACATAAAATATTTTTTGTATGTTTTGTGTGTTAAGTATTCATATCCCATCATTCTACCAGTTCTTTAACAAGGCCTGTTGCTCCAAAAGATTCCACATAAATCTGTACAGGCAATGGCCATAAATGCACTGGTAACAAGATGTTATCCAAAGATTGTTGATGGAATGAATCACAGTGAGACAACTGATGGTCTCCCTAATGTTCACCACATACAAATGTGTATATTCCATTCCTGTAGTTAGCATGCTGTTAGTTATATTCAGTTCCGTAGTTTTAATCATCATTTTATGGAGCTCAGCTTTAATCTCAGAGGTTTGAGGCCACAGTGGCGGTGCCTGGCTGAGCCAACAACACTGCATGTGCTCATAGGCTCCACCAGCAGCTGTCCAACTGAGACTGCTCAGTAGAGCGCAGGCAAGGGGTGTGGGGTGGGGGTGATGGGTCCGAGCCTCACAGCGGTGAGTTCAGCAGCTGTAGCCTACAACCGATTCCGCTCCACTTTAATTGTCTAGAGAATAAGAACCGATAAGTTGGAAGTAATTTGGCCTTCCTTTGTTTGGGATACAGTATAGAAGCAAACGGGACGCTAGATGTCTTTGCAAGAGCTACCAAGCTCCTTTGGAGTCATGTTCTCAGCGTTCACTCTGCCCATGAAAACGGAGCGCAGTCAAAATAAGGAGAGGTTGGAGGCCAGTCTGGCCGACTTGTGCGAGCTGGAACTGCTCAAACAGAGGCAAGAAACCAGGGTGCTGAGCGCTCTCTGGCCCAGGGACTCTCCCGTTCACCACCGTCTGCCTTGGGGAGCTTTACAGTCGGCAGGTTGCGCCTTGGACGCACCAAACGGGGATGTGAGGGATGACGATGGCTTCGGGCTCCAAACAGTAAGTTATGCTTATGTGATGATGGTTCTTTGTTATTCAAGTAGTTATAATCAATGTGCTGATTGTTGATGTAAAGGACAGCTGGGGTGCGCCATGGGATCTATTTCTTAAACTTTGCACAAGAAGCGCAATGAGAACTTTGACTTGGTTTGGCGTGGCGAGAAGGACTTTTGTTGTGAGATATGACTTGATCTCATAGGTTTAGCCCATGAGATCCTGTTTTTGAGTGTCTTCATGGCCTGTCCTGTGAAAACAACTTGATTAGAGTCACCAAACACTGTATATGAAAATGAAAAAAAAGAAAATCTGGAAACCTCATTGTGCATTTATGAAAATAAGTTGTAAGTTACTATTTATAGTCAGATTAGGTCTGCATTTCATGCTGAAGACAGTGCTTGATGCAGACACCTCTATAGACCACATATACTCTATCATTTTTATAGCATAAAAACTGAAATTGCTCTAGATTACATCAAACCAGTTGGATTACTGAAATAAATTCCAAAATGAACATCAGCATTTTTCAGCTGTTTTTCTATTTTTGGTAGGAAAACAGGAGGCAACTACACTACCTCTTGAACCCGTTTTAAGGCCTCAGCAGATGATTCTTATAAATATGAAACACAGTTTGGATTCTCAGTCAAATGCTAAATAGTTAACATTTAATCACACTTAGTTGTAGCATAATAATTGTGTAGTTGACACAGAAGCAATAAATGACCATCTGCAGTTGGATGGATGCATTCTGACTTCATTTTTAATTACTCCAAAAAAAAAAGTGTATTATTCACTTTGCTTCTGCTGGTATCATACAGTCCCAATCTACAACATGAAGTTTTCTTTAAGAAATTATGCCAATTGTTGGTATTTGACAACTGTAAGCAGCAAACTGCCATTTTCCAGGATAATATTCAGTTTCTTCCAAAGCCAGTGGGCCTGCAGTCTGTCAGCTTTGTGAAGTAGAGGTGAGCCAGATGTGTTCCAGAAAAGGGATGCAATGGATACAGTATAAAGAAGAGCTGACTCCGCCCCACTGACTGTGATCTTGAGCATTGTAGGATTGTCCACATGAAACAGGATGAAGCTTGTCTCAGTGCTGCCTGAAGGATTTTATTTTATAGTATTGTATGAAGGCCACAATATGCTAACCCCTGGACATAGGAATAAAGCTTACCTCTCACACTATGGTGGCATATTTGAAACATATTAAAGCTCCAAACACTGCTTGAGGTTGTATGACGGAGATATTCACTCAGTAATTGACTACCATGAACCTGCGAACAGAGTTCCCTGCAGACCTCCCTCTTTCATGTTATTAATTCAGGATAAGACTCCAAATCTCCCAAATAACAACAACCTGCAGTTTATTGTGGCAGCTACCCCCTTAAACCCTCAGATGTTACAGTACTGAGAAATTTTTATAAACCAGTACAATCTGGCTTTTTGAGGAAGTGTTAAATTTAGTCTGAAATAACCAATGAAAGCTGTGTTGCAATTATAGAAACCATCAATGCTATACAAAAACGCAATATAATAAAGTGTAGCATTACAAAGAGAGAGGTATTTCACGTATTGTGGGTGAATACCGTTTTTACTAAAGCAAGAAACCCAGTTAAGACAATTCCAAAACCTCTACACTACAACCGCAACTGTGATCTCTGCGTTTCAGTTACATCATAAGCCCTTTTCTAGTTTTGCTCTGACCAACCAATCAGAGGACGGAAAAATGCTGACATCATTGTGGGCCAGCTAGCTGGCCCTGTGAGGCGAATTTGAAATCTGACTGGTTAAAGAAACAATCCCATTGCTAATATAGTTTAAGTTACATGGGCCAGCACTTCTGATTCTGAAGGCCCTGGGCAGATTAGATTGACATGGCAACACATAGAGGCTGCAATCTGATTGGACAAAAAATCTAACATCCACATACACGTACTGGAAGCGGTGCAGCCAAGAGAAATACTACGAAATGAAGAGAACAGACTGTTGGTAATAAATTAATACAATTTCATGGAACAAATATTAGAATTTCAGTTGTAAATGTAGGTCAGTGCTTCTAATAGTGTTTAGGTCAGCAGAGAAGGCCTTGCTGGCCCTGACAGCCCACCACTGGTATTTAGTTAACATAAGATGTTATTAAGGATAGGATATTTAGAGAACAGTGTATATGAAGTAACAAGTAAACAGCTGGAGGTTTTAGATAACCCCTTTTCTGATGTAACTTTCTAAATGCCGCCTCCCTTCTCATGGCCAGCCGGTTATGTATGGAATTCACCTGAGCAACAAGCCCAATCAGAAAAGTGCTGCTTGTTTTGTCCCCGTGGGGTATCCACAGCCAGGCAGCTTGTTAACACCGCTGGGTTACCACTGCCTGTTTTAACTCTCTGAGACACCGTTGAGAAGTTTGGCATACTATTAATGCTGTTGATTGTTAAACTATATGATTAAAGTGTTCAAAAATCCTTCCTTCTCGCAGCCAGCCGATTTTATATGGAATTCACCCGAGCAACAAGCCCAATCAGAGAGGCAATGCTTCTCTGGGACACTGCTGAGAAGGTTGGCATACTACTATTAACACTGTGAACTGTGTAATTGAAAACTCACTGGGAATTGTGCAATATATGCGACTTTACCAATTACCACTTAAAAGTGTAGACCCACTAAAATCATAAGAATCAGCATCATCAAAACCTGACTCAATAAACACAGAGTATTAAACCTTTTCAGGAATTTTATATAGGAGCTTAAAAGAGGTACAGCAAAGCAGCAAACTATAGCATTAAAATCATCAGTACTTATCTTGATTGGCTTACAATCTAAATAAATCATCAACTACCATGTCTAAACATAAATCCAAAATGATCATACTGATTAAAATTGTCATGGTTGAGCTTTCAAGACACTGAATAAAAGTCAAAGGTTTGCTCACGGTCATCAATCCTCAGTTGATTTGAGTTGGTTGGATTGTGGCTTTCTGTTGAAATCTTCATTTCAGATTAAATCCTCTTTTAAACAAGAATTCAAAGTTTCCTCTTGCTGAATCATGAGGCTTTGGCTATATTCCAGTATCTCTCGCTGTCATTCAGCTCTCTGTCATACACACACAACTTCACTTCCCCTTTTCAGGGATGTGTGTCTTACTCCCTCTTTTCTGTGCCTCAGCACTCTCCACTCTTTGTGCAGTCCCTTGGTCTTCTGGATGTCAGGGAAAAAAACGGACAGGGCCTCCGGCTGCGACCGTGGAAGGACTCCTTTGTTCCTCTTTCTGCCAGGGTTTTTAAAGGGTTCTGGTCATCAGACTCAGTCCCTTCATCTAACCAGATGCCACAGTTTGCACTTAATACCTTTTTTGGCTTGCACATTGTCGTTCTTCAGAACTCATTTGCATATTGCGTTCAGGATTCTTGTAACTGTTCATGACTGCTTTTGACCGGTTAGATCCAGCTTCAGATTCTACTTCCCCTTTCTTTAGAAAACTTATCATCTTAATACTTAACACAAGACAGAAAACACACTTCTGCTTGAAATACAAAAGTTCCCATTATCGCTTTCAACTGAACAATCAGAATTACACACAGATTTTCCACATACACATCAATGCTTTAAAATAGATGAAAAAGTATGCATTTGGAGTCGTGTCGATCTTTGGCTCAACATACTTATGTGAGCAAGTTTTCTGGAGCATGAACTTCATAAAGACCAAATATTGCTCCCACCTCACAAATGAGAGCCTACAGTCCTGTGTGAAGTCCAAAGTCACATCTTCCCCCCGACACAGGGAAGATCAGCATCGAGCTTCAGAAACAGAAGGCACATTAAACAGGTGAGAACACTAGCATTTAATAGAATATTATTTTTCAGAAAAAAACATTTATTTCAGACCCAAACCTGATGTTTTTTTATTGTATGTTCAGGTGCTTCAGTTGATTGCTGGCCGAGAAAGAAACCCGAAGAGGATGAGAGCACACTGAAATGGACTTGTCAAAAAACGTTCCTAATTTTATGTTTACTTTTTTAAAACTGCTAAGCTGCAACTATATGTTTTTTATATTAAAGTGGGCTACATTTTATCTTAATTTTACACAAATACAGGAAGGACTCAAAAAGGCCTACATAGTTCAGTATTTGATTTATTTCAAAGTAGGCCTATACATGCACATTGCACTTCGGTTTGTTGTACTCTGTTGTAACAGGTAAAATTAAAAAATTTTAAAAATTTATAAGCTGTGTTATGTTTTGCGGCTCCAGATTATTTTTCTTTAGTGGAAGAGGGGGCAAAATGGCTCTTTTGATAGTAAAGGTTGCCGACCCCTGGACTAGGCTATGTGATCTGCTCTAGGGGGGTGTGAGATTATATTAGATATAGCTCCCCAATTCATAAATAAGAAAATATATTTCTATAGAGGCTATAGCCTATACTCCATGCTGATCATGCAGTGACCCCCAGATGGAAAAACTGAGCAAAATCATTAAAAAAAAATGTACGCACGGTGTGTACAGCATTATGGCTGCAGGCACCACTGGCTTGTCTAACCCCTGAAGAAATATTATCAAGTATTTAATTTAGTGAGATATGGACATGACCCAGTTCTCTAATTGGCCAGTAGTCATTGAAGGTTCTAAAACATAGAAACTGTACTAACAACAACAGAGAGGTTTACTGTAACAAAACACAAGAAGCTTGATTCTGTGTTATCACTGGTGGGAAAAATCCATCTTATGATTTTCTATCCATCAGCAGACACCATAAAGCTGTATAGTTCATGCTCAATCTATAGTAACTAATGTATCAAGTATTACAGAATGAAAAGCCTGTAAGCTGGAAAATGTGATGTAACAAATTAAAACCATTAGTTATGAGTATTTGGCCCACCCACATACATCCCATGTAGACCATTGCTTAATTCCTAAACCATGAAATAAGGTATCTAATTTTGCAGCATTATGGCCATCTGCATCTGTAACTGTGGAATGAATGTCAGAAATGTCTTCTGCGAAAA